TCCTGGAAGCTACTACAAAAGATATCCAATCAGCTGTTGACAAGCAGAAAGAGACTCTCGAAGGCCTGGCTTCTGTTACTCAGACACTCCCAGGTGCTCTAGAGGCAATCAAAGAAAGCAATGCTACAGAATTCTCGAAAATTGGACTCCTACTTGGTGATCTTGTTGATGCCAAAAAGGGGGAAGATAGCAGAGAACCTGTCCCGCCTACCAGACAAGCAGAAGGCCCAAGCTCCAGAGCCATTAACCCTGCTAGATACTTTGAAAGAGCAAGGCAAAAGAGGCTAACTGCTGGCACTCAGAGACCTTCTCCTCCTCGTTCCAAGAAGAAGAAATCTCCATCCTTCACATTGAACCAATGGCTGAACAGTGGATTGTCTAAACCAGACAAAGTCCAATTTGCTGAGATGAAAGAGCATATGACTCCTCTGCAGCGTGAGAATCTGATCCAAGATGAGAATGGCATCATCACCATTGCTCATGGAGGATCCATAGAAGAAGCTGAGGAATGGTGGAGGTTGAGGATTCTGCCTGGGAAGGATGAGAAGGATGCAATAAGGTATTATCTTGATTGCCAGCTTACTCCACTCTGGAAGAAATACATGATTCCCAGGAACCTTGCTTCCATCAGAGCAAGAGTAAATGCGGAGCTTCTAGAAACCAAGGCAAAAGAAGAGGCTGTTCTTGCAGAGGTTGCAGAGGAAGATTTCTAAACTTTATCTCTTTTGCACTTCTTACTTGTAAAACTCTGATTAATAAAAATAATCTCTCTGCCTCTAATTTGCATGGCTATATTATATAATGTATTATTTATTACTTTCTTTCCTTAATTGTTTATTGCATGATTGATTGTATCTTACTCTTACTATTTTCCTATGCTAAGTGCCCACCAAGATTCTAAATGAAAGTTTATTTTTAACTTATTTTCCTTCATGGTGTAAGGCACTTCTCTGGAAATAGCTTAAGGGTTTTGGCATCATCAAAAAGGGGGAAATTGTAAGGAATAAATGTAATTAGATTTTGATGATGCTATAGGATTAGAAAGTTAGATCACCCCCAATTAGATTTTATGTATTAGAATTTTCAATTGTAAGTATTAGTGTAGTCGACGATCAGAGTTGCTCTGTTTTGGATCACATCAGAAGTGCATCAGAACTGCTCGACCAGACTTGCTCTGCGAGAACTGCTCCATCAGAGTTCTCTTAGCAGAAGTCCATCAGAGTTGCACCACGAGAGCTGCTGATAAATTTGGACATCTGATAACTGATGAGAACTACAGATCAGAGGCACTCATCAGCGGACCTATCAGAGTCAGAGTTAGAGTTCAGTCAGAGATCAGAAAGCCATCAGAACTCAACTCATTAGGAAGCCATCAGAATCCAACACATCAGAAGAGCCTGATCAGAGTCCGACTAACACTTAGAAGATTTCAAGCAACATCCAACAACTATGAATCCAACGGGTAAAAACATCCAACGGCTAGAAGACTATGCATGAAAGGAAAGCATTTAATGCACATTAAATGAGCCTGATACGCTGAAGGATTGATTGCAAATGATTGACCAAAGAATCCGGGAAGATATATTATAAAAATAGAAACCTTCCAAAACGGCGGTCAAGTCAACTGTACGCACATTTAATGCAGTTGTCTCCTCCTCCAACGGGCAGACAACCTCAGTATATAAGCTACACACCGAAGAACAGGAAAACAACTTTTTTGCCAAGAACTCTTCGCAGAACTTTTGCTCCAATCATTAATCTGAATATACTTCTTGAGATTCAACCTTCATAACACTCTACAAGAAAAGTCCTACGTTGGGAAGATTCAAACTCCAAATCTTTCATCCCCAACAACGAGCAAAGTTCATCCTGTTCTTCAACTCTTCAAGAACTTCATCAAACATCATTTGTAACGAAGCAAGTTGGAGGAAAAACTCTGTTTTTCAAAGGATCTTCTGCAAAGAAGGGCGTCCAAGTAACTGCAGTAGTGAAGTGGTGATACTTCCGGGAAGCTGAGTGAAAGGACCAGCCATCAGGACGTGGAATTACATCCTGGGTGGCATCTAGACTTGAAGAAGACGAGGAGTGCTTCTTAAGTGCTAGGATTTAGCTTTGTAACCGATCTACTTCAAAGCTAGTGGAACAGTGGACTAGAGGAACGCGTTGTTCCTTGAACCACTATAAAAATATCCGGTGTCATTTACTTTACTGCAATTTACATTTCTGCACTTAGGATATTAACTGTTAACTCTAAGACTTGGAATCTGTGTTCAGCAGATCTTGTTTTCAGAGTTATCATAAAGGCATTTGCCTTAGTGTTTCTGAGGCTACCCGGACAGATCAGAATCCGCTGCCAAGGCCAGTTCTGATATCAGAACCAGCCTTTCTCTGTCACCAGAATCAGACATTCTCTGATAAGTCATTTTGGACTTAGAGAAATTTTGAAAAACCAATCAGTCTATTCACCCCCCCCCTCTAGACTGATTACCATATTAAACGGGACCAACAATATATCTCCTAAGATGGAAGAAAATTAAAGGAAAAGTTATGATAAGGTTATTACCTTTATTTTCACACTTTTCCCTAGCTTTTTCCTTCTTTAAACTCCCTCTTTTTCCTTGTTTGAGTTTGAGCTCGTGTTCATCTATGGAAAGTGGAGTTGCAGAGCTTCCTCTCTCTTTTTCCTTGGTCTTTGGCCGAGTATGATAGGGGTGGGTGAGTGAGGAGATAGCCTCTTTGGCTTTTCTCTCAAAATAATGTGAGGATGGGTCCTCCCTATTGTACTTTTGATGCTAAATACATCTCCTCCCCATTTCCCTTTGTCAACCCAGCCCCCTTTGTCCAACTTAGCACAAAAAACGTGGGGTGGCCCCCACTCATGTGGGAGGTCATCCCTTTGTGTCCCGATGTGTACAATCGGTCCCGAAAGTTGTATTTTTCGGACTGTTTTAAATATGTTTTATTTTATCGGGTCAAATAAAATATATTATGTGCTCTTACTCATTATGACATGTATAATGAATATACATTCCCCAACTTTAATTTATAAGCCTCCGAAATTCATTTCCGGGCTGTCATCTGTTAAATTGTCGGTACCGGTAATTTGAGCCTCTTTTTCCCAATCGGTCAACTCTGCGCCTTTCCACGACCCAAATAAAATATCCACCACTATATAAATATTATCTTGACCAAGATGAATAAAATATGTGGTCTCGGAAGTGTCGGGCGGCCCCCGCTCCCGGTGTGGGTCCCACGTGCAATTTACTATTCACGCGAAAGAAATAATAAAAATTTACAACCCCGTAAATTCATTAATCCTTTAATAAGGTTCAATACATTATTTACATAACAGTAAATATATTTGGGGACTGTGTTACACTGAGTAATTTTAGTTCTGGCCGATGCGACACCTTGTTGGCCGATGGGGGACCCAAACGGCCGAAGGGACGCAAAGTGGGTGTCTATCTTTAGTAGTTTGATCCTTTGAGTATGTGGGCTATGGGGTCTGCGCCCATATACTCTATCAATCTCTATAGTCTATTCTATTAGTCTCAACCACCTGTCATAAATCGTGCTAAGCGAGGCGGCAAGGGACTATATATGGATTGAGCAAGATACATTCAATGCTAGCACATTCTATCGATTTCCAGATTCACAATAAAGATTAGCTAAATGAATGAATTTTATAGAATTATTTATTAAAGATCCGTTTATTAATTTAGATACCCCAATTTCAACAACATTGTGACCTGCGGGCTACATGCAAAATTAAATCATTAAAATAAAAGAGATTCATACTTATAGGAGATGCAACGAATATAATAAAGGGTGAAGAGTACTAACAATGAAGTTTTAAATGCTCTCTTTGGTCAATAATGTTTGTTTAGTAGTCATCATGCGTATGAAGGAAAACATGGAATGTCCAGCCACAAAAGCTTATTACAATAAAAGGTTTTCATGAAGACAACAAGCTATGAAAAGCTTAGTTAAGATTAGTCAAATGTAACCTATAAATGAACTAACAAAGCGGGAAGTTACGGAGTAGATTAGTAAACTTTAATATTGAAAAATGATTTTGCTGGATTTAAAGGACAAGAGTGGATGTAAAGGAGATCACACAACCAAGAGCTATTATATACAATTGTTCCATTTTATTTTATACTACGTCCATTCTATTTAACACCCCGACCCCGTAGCGTAAAGTCGTTACTCCTAGATGTGCTCCAAACCCAATACTATCCTCACAAATCAACACCATATTTGTTGATTCTTTTTTGTATAACATAACACACAGAATCAGCAATTGCTTTTACTAATATGTAAACAGAAGTCCATGTTCAAGAAAGTATTAGGAAATCAAAGTAAGGATCGTAGAATTACAAATTATGAGTAGAATATATGAGTGTCAAGTTTTTTTTTTATTTGATCATATTCCTTACTACTTTAATTAGCTTCAATTCGCAAGCCTTATCAAGAGCACACATATAGATCACTAGCTAATAAGTCAATAGTCCCAAGAATTGTTGTTGAGTTCTTTAGTTCGAGTTGGTATAGTAGGGGAACCTGCTCTTATTCCAACGTGTTCATGTGAGTGCTTACTTTTTTGAATCGCCAAGACAAAATCGGAGTTATTAATTTAAATTCTTTGCTTTTAAATTAAGGTTTTGAATAAATAATCCGAAAAAATAGCACTACTCGATGCAACAATCCTACCCATAACTTATTGGTAGCATTACATTGACTTTTTGTTTAGTCCTCTCATGTTTATAATCTAGAATTTGCAGTCTGTTTGGTCTATCAATAAATTGAATTGCAATCTAAATAAAATTATTCCATATATTAGTTTCGTTCTCTTTTAAATGCAACGTTAGACTTTTGTACTTTTCAAATGCTCTTTTCCTACTTCTATATATACCCTGTGCGTCTTTTCCTACTTCTAAATTTCTAGTTACAAATAGTAGTTGGACCACTTTGTTCCACATGAATTGGGTATATATTTAGGCATTTAGCATCTTCAATCGACATTTATCAAATACTTAAGAGCATCCATAATGCACTAGTCTCTAGTCTCAATAAATTGTGCCAAATGTCAAATAAGTAAAAGGCTCTCTTGATATAGTGGAGTGAGTAGACATAGGAATAAGAAAGAACCCGGCCTCCAACGTATAAAGTCTCAAAACACAATTTAGGAGTCCATGTGGAATTTATTACCCCATTTATTAATATATATATATTTCTCTACCGATTACCATGTAAATTAAAATACAGAGTATTAATTTCTGTTGAGGATCGATTCCGTCACCGTATTCCGGCTCAGGCAGTCCGGAGCTCAGTTTTCGATCGTCTCTTGTGCACTCCTAAGCTAAGGGAGCAACTTCCCTAGATAGCCACGCCTACACTCACACTTCTAGCCTCACAAAGAAGAAGAAGAAGAAGGAATGCTGCCTCACCAGAACTATCTCTCGGCCAGGGAGGAAACAAGGTTCAACTAATGAAACTGGCTTACTTTGCAAGGGTGCATGTCTGCCCATACGTATACAGAGGAGGTTTTGGCATATTAGCCCAATGACATGGATGGACTGACAATAGGGAAATAATACAATAGAAATGTTGGACTATTCCAACAAGTCTGCACCCTTGTAGAGTAAGCCAGTTTCATTAGTTGAACCTTGTTTCCTCCCTGGCCGAGAGGTAGTTCTGGTGAGACAGCATTCCTTCTTCTTCTTTGTGAGGCTAGAAGTGTGAGTGTAGGCGTGGCTATCTAGGGAAGTTGCTCCCTTAGCTTAGGAGTGCACAAGAGACGATTGGAAACCGAGCTCCGGATTGCCTGAGCCAGAATACGGCGACAGAATCGATCCTCAACAGTGGTGTCAGAGACTAGGGTTGCTGTCGCCATCGAGTTCGCCGGATTCCGCCGTCTGCCGCCGGCGTCCACCGCCGCACACCGCCGTACGCCGCTGATAGAAGCTTTGGAAACTTCGCCGGATCTGGGTTGTTGTTCTTTTGCACGCTGATTCATCGGGAGTCGTTCGTTGATTCTGGAGCTCGTGGGTTGTTTGCCGCTGGAGCTACGCCGCCATCTTCCACAGTTGAATTGAAGCCCGTGGAGGTCGCCATCCATCCCTGTTGTTTCTCCGTTCGAAGGAAGGTCCGCCGCTTGAGGTTGTTGCTGAAGTTGAAGTGCCGCCGTCGTCACCTGGGAGCTCCGCCATCGAAGTCGCTGGGGCCCTCCATCTTCTTTTCCCTCGACGACGGGTTGCTAGCTCGTTCGCCGCCGAAGACTAAGGCCTGGATTTCAGATCCAACCCTGTTCGCGAGGCTTAAGCTCGAGCGCAGATCGTTGGCAGAAAGCCGCAGGGACGAATCCTACTGTTATCGCCATTCTTTTGGTCCGCTGGGATTGCTGGAGGTGAACTGGGCTACAGGGCTATTGTGCTGCTGATTTTCTGGACTGTGATTGACTTTGTGAAGGACAAAGCTGAAGCTGGGCCGCTGCTTTGGACTGGGTTGCACTGCTGGACTCCTGAAGCTGTAGGTTGCTCTGGAATCTGGTCAACACTGGTGTGCTCGGCTAGAGTGAGCAAAAACGCAGGTGCTGAACACGCTTTAACTTTGGAGTTGGACTTGGACTGGAATTGGGCTGACGGCTAGGAACTGGACTGCCGGTCAAAATCAGTCAAATCCAGTCAACAATTCAGAAAAATTCTTTGTGGGTGGGTAAGGTCCAACACTCCCCTAGTGTTTGGCTGTTGTAAGTCTTCTTTATCCGAAATTTCAGTTTCTGCTTTTCAATTATTTTAAATTGTTAGAATTTGTTGTTGATTTAATATTTGCTAGATTGTATTTATCTGTGATACTGTTTGGTCCTATAAATATTAAGTTGTTTTTTCTAGCTAAAGTTGCATTTTATATTTTCTTGTTTAGTTTTTTCTGTGTGAAAATGTCTGCTTTTAATCAGTATGGAATGACTCCATTTAATGGAAAAACTGATTTTAGTATATGGAAAAAGAAAATAAAGTGCATATTAATTCAACAAAAATGATATAGGGCCATTAGTGAGACCTATTTGGCTTCCGATACGGAAGAAAAAAAAAGCAGAATTGAATAAAAATGCTTGTTCTACAATTTACTTGAACTTATCTGATTGTGTGCTCAGAAAAGTAGGAATTTTAGAATCAGCTAAATCTGTGTGGGATAAACTTGAAGTGCTTTATAATATAACCTCTTTGCCTAACCGGTTGTTTTTACTTGAGAAATTCTTCAAATTTCGACTAGATATGTCTAAGGATATTGAAGAAAATCTAGATGTTTTTACCAAACTTATTTAGGATATTAAGTTGTGTGGTGATAAGCATATAGATGATTATTCCCCTATTGCTCTTTTAAATGCTATTCCTGATTCCTTTAGTGATGTGAAATCCGCTATTAAGTATGGTAGAGATGATGTGACTCTTGACATTGTGGTAAATGGTCTTAAGAGTAAGGAATTAGATTTAAAACAGATGGGTGAGGGTAGAAAATCCGAGGAAGTTATGCATGTGAGGGGTAGAGATAATAGTAGACGACATAGATCTAAGTCTAGGTCTAATTCGAGGCGCTGCTATTATTGTCATGAACCTGGTCATTTCATAAGAGACTGTCCTAAATCTAGCTAGGAAAAATGAGCATAGTGAGCATGCTAATTTGACTACGTGTGAAGATGATTTAGGTGATGTTTTTATGATGAGAAATCTATGTGATTATGACTATTTGAGTTCTGTGATATCTGATTCTTTGGGTAAATCAGATTGGGTGATAGATACTGGTTGTACTTTTCATATGTCCCCTTTGAAAAATGTTTTTTCAAACTATAGAGAGATTGAGCATGGTTTTGTGTCTTTAGCAAATGAGAACAAATGCAATGTGCTAGGAATAGGAGATGTATGCCTTAGGTTCTCTTCTGGTTATGTGCTTACTTTGAAGAATGTTAGGCATGTTCCTGATCTGTGTTGTAATTTGCTATCTTGTGCTTCTCTTGAAAATGAGGGTTTGAAGGAAAAATGGGGAAAGGGAATCATGAAAGTTGTGAAGGGTTGTTTAGTTGTTTTCAAAGCTGAGATGAAAAACAACTTGTATGTTTGTCATGCTGAACCCGTACTTGATTCTGTAAATTGTGTGCAACCCTGTGTGCTAGGAAAACAATCTAGAGTTGGTTTTCCTGATCTACCTAAGTGTACTAATGTGCTTGATTGTATTCATGCTGATTTGTGGGGTCCTTATAGTGTTTCCACTCATGGTGGGAAAAATTATTTTATGACGTTGATTGATGATTTTTCAAAGAAAGTGTGGGTTTTGTTGATTGAAAATAAATCTGAAGTTTTTGATAAGTTTAAAAACTGGAAAACCCTTGTTGAAAAACAAACCGGTAAGAAAATAAATTTTTTAAGGACCACTATCAGTTTTGATTTCTGTGATAATCAGCTTGGTGATTTATGTGATCACTACAAGAAAACATGTACTTAGCGTCGGTAAAAATTTCCTCTTGCGTCGGTTATAACCGACGCCAGATACTTTTGCGACGGTCTTATAAACCCTCGGCAACAGCTCCGTGGGGGGGTTTTTGAAGTCGGGTTTGATAACCGTTGGAACAACCGACGCTAAATATAAACGGATTTACCAACGGTTTTAGATGACGCAAATAGTTGAAGGCAAGTTAGCTGCACAAATAGATGGTTATATATAGCGTCGGTTATAACCGACGTTAAACAACCATACAAATGTAATATCCGATTCACTATCACGTCAGTTATAACCGACGCTAATAGTTTGGAGAAATTCTGAGTTTTTTGTTCAATGCATTCGTTAATTACAGTTTTAACAACCCATCTAACTTTTATTTTTTTGCACAAATATGCTAAATACCAATGCTAAATGTAATAAATAAATAATAATATTTATTCACAAGTGATTTGCTTTAAGATTTGTAGTAATGAAATGCCACAAAAGTTGAATGGCAAATTCTGAAAAAGTTCAACTACATTCCATAAACGTAACTTGCTAAAATATGTTATATGTTATAGTACAAATTCTTCAAAACATCATACTAGTCAGGAAAGATAGTACCAAGGAATTCTGGTAATGACTTGCAACAAGCCTCACAAAATTACATAAGTTCAATAAATTCATATTTAGGATAGACAAAATACTAAGAGTAATCCCACAAAGCTAGACCATGACTTGCTTCTTCAAATGTTGTAGAATCAACTTGTACGTATCATATCCTGGGAGCAAAAAAAAAACAAGAAATATAATGTTACCTTTTGTAGGAGTAATGCCAAAGCATATTTTTGTCCAATAATATTGAAAGATATCAACCAAAGTAAGCACCCAAACAGTGGAGGAACTAGGGATTAATTTAAGGAAGGGCACAATAAGCAAATCATCAAATTAATAATAACATTATCGTAACAAACCATAGCAATAAAACAAAACAAATCCACTCAAAAACGTTAATAGTGCTAAATCCATAACTTACGTGTTCTCATGTTTCGAAAATGTTTTCAGTTAAGATTCCCTAATAAAGTAAAAATAATTAGCGTAAATAATTAGCGTGTTCTCATGTTTCACGCTTCAGCCTTCAAAGGTAAGTTTAGGGCTTTGTTTAATTTGCTTTGGGGCTTGGCACGATTGGACCAGGGCAGCTAGGCTAATCTAATTTTTTCGTACAAATTAAGTAAGGGACGTCAAACGACGTCGTTCCCTGATAACTAAAAAAATCACCCGAAACATCATCATTTTCCTGGCCACAAAGACTGAAAGACGAAGTTCAATCACCTCACCCTCGCTGGGAAACTCCATGTACCGCCCCCTACTCCTCTACACTCCTACCTTCCTATACTTGGACCATTGAAGCAGGGGGCACCCAAAGTATTCCCAAGAGTAGTTGTATTCCTAACTTTTCAAGTAAAAAAGGTGAGTAACTAACCTCTGGTAGTTGTATTCCTAACTTCTGCTCAAGGTACTTGAAGACCATATCAACTTGAGATTGCTTGTGTTCTCGTTCAGCTCGCTCCTCCTCAAGCCGCTTGTTGACCTTCAATAGTTCTGATTTTAGGGACTGCACTTCAGAAAAGTTGCTACTACTCTGAAATGGGACTGAAGCTCTTCTTCCCCGACAAACCGATGGGCTGAAAACTTTAGATGGACAGACACCAAACCCCATACCACGAACTCTCCCATTATGTTCCTTCCCCAGAACTTGACCCATTGCATCATTCGTAAAAGGAATGCCATCACTCACCTCTCCCAGTTCAATTTCTTCATCCAAGACTTTTTCAATTTCCTCCTGTAAAATTCATAACAGAATCTTCTAAGCATGAAAAAGAACAATATGCACACACACAGATATCACATATACAAAACTTACACCAACAGCTTTTGCCTCATCATTAACATATGATCCATCTTTCTTCTTATGGGTAACAATAAATGCTACGCCTCGACTGATCCTTTTTCCAGTTTCCAATTCCTTTTTCATTCAACATACAGGTTATTAGAATCAAGGACACCCTAGTTTTAATCCAAAAGAATGATTAACAATGTATACATATTTCTAAGAGATTAAAAAAATGTATAAGACTTCAAAGCCGAATGTAATATAAGTAAAGTGAATATGACATCACCATTTCATGTGTCCGTCTTGCAATAGTCTTTGATCCCCCGGTGTGAGGAAACCTTAATTTTTTCCGATTTTCGGTATTTCGTTGTGTCATGGCCTGCATAAGTCATTTAAATGAAGTTCTTATTAACTAAACCATGTTACACACCTTTTCTTAAGCTATACACATACTGCTTTTTCTGGAATTTCTAACTCTACAGTTTGAATGATAAAAAAACTCTACACTTTGATAATAAGGTTCTCATCAGACCTCTATAATTTTTATTACCTTGCTTTTTGGTGAAAACCAATAATCTACCAAACTATTCCATTGATCTTGAGGTATTCCCGTGGCAGGAGTGGCCATAACGACATCCCTGGTGCTATTGATTTTCACAAATTCGCTTTTTAATCTATTTCTGAACTCCCTCCTTTTGTCACGTAATGATTCCATTGCCCATGCCATCCCAGAATCAGACTCAAAACAAAAGTGTCTCTACATTTATATGTAATATCAATAAAAGAAATAAAAAACTGTATCAATAATTAAATATGAAATGTAAGGATACCTCTATATCAGCAACTGCGTTCATCTTATAAGTCTGAGGTACTGTCCTCCAGTCAGTAAAATTCATCGGAATCACATTTACATCGCTTGCTAGTTCTCCCAACCAAACTCCAATCAATCCCGCACCTTCGCCAATCCCCTGTTGAAATCTATTGAATTCAATGATCACTTTCTTTCCTTTCAAGTTCCACA